GAAGAAGTCTCTTGGAGGAGAGACGAAACGTTTCATTAGAGAAGAACCCGTCCAGAAGACCTATACATTTTTTTTTCTTTTTGATTAAATAAGTCTCTTACTTTGCATAATACTGCAATGGATTTGGCAGTTTTCGTTTTTAAATGATTTATGTGAGATTTTTAAGTTTTAATAAGTAGTTTTAATAAGTAGGTTAGTTAGTAGTTTTTTGAGCCTGGCTTGCAAAACTGTATTATCTGCACATTATTTCCTTATTTGTCCACCTTGAATATTAGTGTTGCCACTGTCACGTGGGATAAATCTTGTGCCAGCAGTAAGTGAATTTGAATTGCTCAGCTTGAATCTGTATGTGCATAATTTGAAATTGAATGCATTGGTATAAAAAAACACTAAATTGAAACTGAATTCAATGTTTTGAAACTGAACTTAAAACTTTGTATCTTTATTAATTTGCTTTGAAACTGTATTTTGGTCTATTAAACATTCAATTTGACTACTTTCACTAGCTGCGTTTCCACTGACCATGAATATGCACAAATTAGCATTTCGAAAATAAATTTGCTCAGTGGAAACACGTCAATTTCAAAAAAAAAAWTTTTTTTTCAACAATTTTTTTTGCCGTATCCAAATTGGTGTGTTTTGCAAAACTGCAATGGAAACACTTTTTTCGCATCACGGGAGTCACATGATCAACAACTGGCTGTTTCTACTGGCGAAAAAGACGACAACAAAGAAGACAACAGGAAGTAGAAATAGTAATAAAATCACCGAAGTTCTAAAAGAAAGTTGTAAACTCACCAACTGCAATTTCCCAAAAATGCTGCATACATAGCCGCTCCCAAGTATAAGGGCCTTGTCGCTCGAAAGCCTCGATAAGACGCCGATGTCTCCTCTAATGATGAGCCCTAGTGCCATTGTAACAATTACGTTTGTGTTTACATCCATTGCCGCCATGTTTGTAATGACTTATTGTGAGATCAAACATATTCATATGTGACTTTAATAGCATTTATGGTAACACCGCAATTGCGAAACTGTGTTTTTTCGACATTAACAGAATATYAACAAAGTTTTGTGCACATTTACAATGGAAATGCAGCTACTTTCAATTCCAAAATTCAGATTTTTGTGTCACACATCCTGGTCCTTGAGAAAGCCAGCCAGAGTAATCAAACACAGATCGACAGATTTATGTTTCACTTCGGTGAAGTTTCCCTTCTGTATGTAACAGAGTTGATGCAATCCACCATAAACGTGACAAAAAAATTTATTTTATTGCAGTGATTAATTTTACCTATAGAAAAATTTACATTGTAAATTAAATGTAACTTACAGTGGATTGCATCAACTCTGTTTCATACAGAAGGGAAGCTTCATCGAAGTGAAATGTAAATCTGTTGATCTGGCTGGCTTTCTCAAGGACCAGGATGTGACACAAAAATCTGAATTTTGGAACTGAAACTGTATTATGGAACTGAAAGTGAAAGTAGTCAAACTGAATTTTTAATAAACCAAAATATAGTTTCAAAGCAAATTAATTCAAATTCAAAACTTTAAATTCAGTCTCGAGCCATTAAATTCAGTTTCAATTTAGTGAAACTTATTTTCAAACTAATGCATTCAATTTCAAATTATGCACATTCAGATTCAATATGAGCAATTCAAATTCAATAACTGCTGGCACAAGATTTATCCCATACTGTCAGCTATATTTTGTATCAGACGGATTTGAACTCCTTTGGGTTCCTAAGCTTCTGCAGGTTTTGTTTTTACATCCTCACCCTCAGGTCTGTATTGGGCTACGATGGTGACCACCTGTCCTGCTCCTTTCAGGGCTGCTGCTGCTTGTTCATGTGTGGCTCCTTGTAAGTCAATGCCATTAACCTGTTTGAAGAACAAGACAGAGAAAAACTGTTACTGTTCTACAAAACTCAATACTCTAATATTAGACAAAAAGTTTATTTTTATTAGTTTTTACACAAATGGTGATGAGCAAATGCTGAAATTCTGTAGCGTTCTGTTTACACAGGCTCAGCAAAACAATGAGTGGCAGCAGGTTTTCAGTAATCAGACAAAAACAAGTAATCACAGAGGATGAGAGCGTATGAAGTAAGTTAATATTAAAACCGGTGGAAACCCATTTGTTGTGGAAAGCCAAGACATTTAACACAACCAAGGTCAAAAGTCAACAAAAAGAATGCAAGTTATCGATAGAGTTTATCTAAAGTTGGTTGATCTTGTCGATCGACTAGCGATAAGCAACCATTTTCTTAAAACCCTAATATTTCTTTTGAATCAAGAGGGTCTTTCCATAACATGAAGAACTAATATTTATCCATCCATCCATCCATCCATCCATCCATCCATCCATCCATTTTCTTCCGCCTATCTGGGGTCGGGTCGCGGGGGCAGCAGCTTCAGAAGGGAGGCCCAGACCTCCCTCTCCCCAGCCACTTCTTCCAGCTCCTCCGGGAGAACTCCAAGGC